GTATACATGGATGATGTCATCACAGGAGCGGATACTCTGGAAGAGGCTTGTATTCTACGCAAACAGCTGGACGAGATGATGTCTAAAGGCGGGTTCCAACTAAGAAAGTGGGCGTCCAATTGTCCAAAGGTGTTGGAAGGTATTCCCGAGGATAATCTGGCCATTCGGGAGGGCGGAGGTATTGATCTGGATCCTGATTCGTCGGTGAAAACTCTTGGTTTAACGTGGATGCCTGTCACGGATCAGTTCAAGTTCTATTTCAACATTCCAGTACTATCAGAAGAATTCCAACTCACCAAGCGCCAAATACTGTCGGTGATAGCTATGCTGTTCGACCCGTTGGGACTTCTCGGCGCTGCAGTGACTACAGCAAAGATTTTCATGCAGCAACTGTGGACAATACGGGACGAAAATGGTCGAACTTTGGAATGGGACCAGCCCCTACCTTCGACGGTGGGTGAGCAATGGATGAAGTATCATGAGCAACTCCCTCTACTGAATTCAATTCGGATCGATCGATGCGTCATCATCCCCAAGGCGGTCTCTGTTGAAATTCACTGTTTCTCCGATGCTTCATCGAAGGCTTTTGGATGTTGCCTATACTTGAGAAGTCAGGATTCAGAGGGAAGGATAAAGGTTCGTTTGCTGTCATCGAAATCCAAGGTAGCACCGTTGAAAGTCCAGAGCACACCGAGACTGGAGCTGTGTGGAGCGGTTTTGGCAGTCCAACTGTTCGAAAAGGTTCAAGAGTCTATCAGGATTCAGTCAACAGCGTATTTTTGGACGGATTCCAGCTGTGTCTGGCGATGGATACAGGCTTCTCCGACAACATGGACCACATTTGTTGCGAACCGAATAGCCAAGATCCAATCCATTACTGATCCAGTTCAGTGGCAGCATGTTCCGGGCGTTGAAAACCCTGCTGATTTGATATCCAGGGGAATAATGCCGAATAGTATTTCTGAAAATAATTTCTGGTGGCACGGACCAGACTGGCTGCGACAATCATCTGACAATTGGCCAAAGGGTATGGATGCACCATCAAATTTGGATTCAGAAAAGGAGCGAAAGCGAACCGTTCTATCCTGTACGGTTTCTCCATTTGCTGAATTCAACGAAATGTACCTTTCCAAATTCTCATCGTATGCTGATTTAGTTCGTCACACTGCGTACTGGCTACGGTTCATACGACTATTACAAACGGCCCCAGATCAGCGAAGTTGTGGAGATTTTTTGTCGACTGCAGAACTCAAGAAGGCCGAACTAACCATAATCCGTCGAGTCCAAAAGGAAGTGTTCATTGAAGAATGGAAGGCATTGTTGAAAAGCGAATCAGTACCACGAAAGTCTGCGCTGAAGTGGTTCAATCCATACATTTCAGCTGACCAGATCATCAGGATTGGAGGAAGGTTGAGGCACTCCGGCGAAGCTGAGGATACAAAACACCCTATCGTTTTACCTGCACGCCACGTACTCACCAGGATGATTGTGAAACAGTACCATGAGCGATTGTTACACGCAGGTCCACAATTGCTATTGAGCACGATTCGTCTCAAATTTTGGCCTCTAGGAGGGAGAAATATTGCCAGATTAACTGTTCACCATTGTATGAAGTGCTTCCGGTCGAAGCCGTCACCCGTACAGCAGTTCATGGGAGAGTTGCCAGCCCCACGTGTCACAATATCTCGACCGTTTTCTAAAACCGGAGTGGATTACTTCGGGCCGCTCTACGTGAGATCTGCTCCTCGTCGGCCTGCAGTCAAATCATACGTAGCCATCTTTGTTTGTCTAGCCACGAAGGCTGTTCATTTGGAACTGGTAACTGATTTATCGACAGATCGATTTCTCCATGCCTTGCGACGGTTCATAGGACGCAGAGGTCGCTGTTCTGATATTTATTCGGATAACGGAACGAATTTCGTTGGAGCACGGAATCAGATGCAGGATTTTCTGAAGCTCCTTAAAAATCGAAGTCATCACGACAGGGTCTCCAAGGAATGTGCAGAGGAAGGTATGCAGTGGCATTTTAATCCACCAAGTGCCCCGCATTTTGGCGGATTGTGGGAGGCAGCTGTACGATCTGCCAAAAATCATCTGTTGAAGATCCTCGGTGAAAATCCAACCTCATCAGAAGACCTGAACACCTTGCTCGTTCAAGTGGAGGCCTGTCTTAATTCTCGTCCACTCACAGCTATTTCGGATGATCCTACGGATTTGGAGGCTTTAACACCTGCCCATTTTTTGGTTGGATCGTCGCTTCAAGGTTTCCCCGAACCAGATCTGTCAGATATTCCGATTAATAGGCTTAACCGTTGGCAATTGATGCAAAGAACCTTACAGGATTTCTGGAAGAGATGGCGCAGAGAGTATCTTTGCCAACTGCAGGGAAGAATGAAGAGATGGAAACCACCTGTCTCGATTGATGTTGGCAGATTAGTAGTCATCAAGGACGAAAACCAACCACCTATGCGATGGAAAATGGGTCGAATTCTAGAAACTCATCCCGGAACAGATAATGTTGTCAGGGTTGTGACAGTTAAAACCGCTACCGGCAACCTCAAACGGCCAGTGGAAAAAATTTGCCTTTTACCACTACTCGATCACAACGATGATATCGATCCTACCAATGAGTAAGCTGCTCTTAAGTCAATTTGTACCCGTTCCTGTTTCCCTTTCCCGTCGAAGAGGATGTTTCTTTTCTTTGCAGAAATCTTCAATTTCTGGGTGGGTGAGGATGTTTAGAGAACAGCCCAGCAACAGTGACTGCAACCCTATAGCCAACACCCAGATTGAATAGTAGGCTTCATTGTTTCGACGTTCGTGTATGGTAATGAGAATATCGCGTTGGGAGCACGAGATATATTCTCTTCGAAGATCCGCTGCCGGCTTTAAGACGCAGTGGTGAATATTTAGGTAGGAGCACTGAACGATAAGAGAGGATCTCTCTGTCGATAACAGCCGATGGAAAACATCGCCTGCTATCGACCGGGATCATACAATTACCAGTAGCTTAGGATATTCAGTGTTAGTTCGATAACCAATCGAGATAGAAGGACGGGATGATCCTTAGTGTAATTTGTGTAATGATTGTATAGATGTTAGTTTGTTCTGTAATAAAATATACTTTGTGAGTCCGTTGTTTTGAACCTACGTCGCGTGTGTGATTTTGTGAAGAAGAAAGAAGTTTTGTGTGTCTGGTTGCTATATTCTTCCCAACCTGCTTCAAATCCCTAAAACCAAGGACCACGGGATAGCAATTACACCGCCAAATCCACCATCCATGATTCTGCGAGTGTCGGGAATAAAGAACCGTACAGCCTACATCCATCGAAGGTAATCAGCTCAGCGTTCCTGACAATACTTTATCTTAAAATTTTCAAGTATTTCAATGTTTCGGTTATGGTTCACTCAAAACAATTTAAACATTTTTCTTGACAAATATTTTAATGTGAAATTCCTCATGATTTTCATTTGACCACACATAAACAGAATCCACTTAGAAGTACACATGAAATTTTTACGCAAATGAATAGTATGTGTGGTCACGCGTGTGGAACACATAAAAACTCCAGAACAAGATCCTTAGGATGATTCTAAACAGTCCATGACCCGGAATTCTGAGTTTCACCGCCTGGCTGGCCTTCAGCCTCTCGAAGAGCGACGAACGGAGACACCTGTCTGAGATCAGATCTTCAGATCATACGTGATATAGCACGTTAATTAAGTTAGACTCGTAGTTAGGTAGGTTATCAAATTTTTCAATTAAAACAAAACACACCCCCCAAGGAGTATTCTGTCAACTAGATGAAATACGCAAATACTAAATTAGAATATCCAATGAACAAAGATGAAGAGCCAGATAGGCTAATCAATTGAAATGTAAAATCAATGTGTACACCATAATCAACAGAAATAAACGAAATTTTACTACTACTACTTTTAGAGTCAGTTGTGTGTAATTCATCAACATAATATCATCGAATATGTCTTTCAAGCAAATTTTTTTTTCTCAAATTTGAAAGTTTTGGTTCGGGAAGAAATTTAGGGAAAAACTTCTGTTTTTACTAATAATTGTAGTTTGTTTAAAATTTATTTCCCGGAAAAAAGTGATCGTCAAAGTCCATGTCTTTTTCAGATTATTGTTGAGGGGGGGGGAGAGGTTGTTGTGAAGGGGGAGGAGGGGGTTTACAAATATTGCATTTTCTCATTCCTCATTGTGTCGCATTTCTCATTGTGGTCACGCCGTGATCCACCTTTAGCCACTGACTTGGTCCTGCTTGCTTGTGGTTTGTTAAAGATGTATTTCCCGGAAAAAAGTGATCGTCAAAGTCCATGTCTTATTCGGGTTATTGTTGAGGGGGGGGGGGGGGGGAGAGAGGTTGTTGAAGGGGGAGGGGCAGGTTGTTGAGGGAGAGGGAGAATTTGTTGTGAAGGGGGGGCAGGTTTACAAACATTACTTTTCCTCATTGTGCCGCATTCCTCATTTCACGCCGTGATCCACCTTTAGCCGCTGACTTAGTCCGAAGCGGGAATGAGCAGAGGCAGGAGAGCAGCGCTGATTTATATCTTTTCATGTTCAAGCAGAATGATGTGCAATCAAGTGGTATTCGTTTATGATGACTGGGTTTGGGAAAAAGGCTTATTTCATGAAAACAGTGATAAAATTATCATTTGTACATTTTCAATAGTTTAATTACAGAGAAAGTGGGAAAATATTTATTTCAGCAGGTTCGTAATGTAATATCCTTTCGATTGGCGTATTTGGATTTTAATTTCATCTATAAATGACAAAGTTACAAGCGTACAAAACCTAACACTCCTTCACCACACATATTTTTTGATTTGCACCCCAGTATAGTCGACAAAGACGTAGTTCTACGTCAAAAGAAATTTACTCCAGATTAGTGTCATAAGCATTGCCATTGTATACAACCAAAGTGAAATTAAAAATCATCAAAATATTATGTTAATAATATTTCAAACCTTTCTTTCCTTCGCAGAGTAACATTGAAGAAAATCTACTCTCTGATAGAAATTCCTCGATTCGACCAATCTAATGAAGTTGATCCGTTTGAAGCACAATCCAACAATGCAGAAGAACAACTGGATATCACTTGGCAAGAAAAAGTGTTCAGCAAGTATGAAATCGAATATTATAGTATCAGAGAGAATTGTACCACTGATCTGCAAAAAAGTTATCACCATACAATCAATGCATCCGAGTTTACTGAGCAAGAAAAAGGCGGGAAAATATTCTCCTACACTACAGCTGATAACTACGCTTTGGACGATGAGTTCAGTGTTGCAAAGCGAGCAGTCCAATCACGTAGCGAGCAGGAAGATTGCTTTGAAAACATGTTCATCATGGCTGATCTTGATACGGAGGTTGTACTGTTCACTCTTAAGTGGAACTCAAAGGAAAATATATTGCTCGTCTATCCTGATTTCAATTGTATGAGCATCAATCCTTACTACAAAGAAATTCAAGGTGACAGCCGACAAATGTATCATTTTGGAATAAAAAATCTCAGTTGTAAGCCAAAACATACGGGTTCGAAAGAAACTTTTCAAATTGATGCCACACTTATGGATAAGGTAGATTTGAGCCCTCAAATTACGCAATGATTTTTTTAATAAGCATATTATTTACAGCTAAACAGGTTAACATTACGTGAGGAATTGTCCAAAGATAAATTTGCCTATCCAGAGAACCACCAGCTTCAGTTTATGATGCTTTTGGAAATTCTGTCCGGAAGAAGTTTCTCGTACGACAATACACATGTACGATTCACGTTCGATCTACCGATAGAATCAAAGATAATCAATGGATTTATTGATGGTTGTACTCACAGTAGTAAGAAAACCAATGGGATGTGGCAATATTCACACTGCCACGAAGTTCTGCTCAAGATCCCAGAAAATCATGACATTGGTGGTGAGTATTCAGCAGTTTAACCCTTCGGGCGCCCATAAGGGAACCTTTAAAGTACACTCATTTTTATATATCCAGCATTCGACGCTCGGTAATGGTGGTCTACGCAGGTTTCAAAATGCAGTGTTTGCACTAGTTTTTGACACTTACTGGAGTTTTTACGTTTCCCTTCTCCCTTTCCGTTTCTTAGGAACAGTAAAAAACAACAGCGAACGCTGCATTTTAAACCCCGTGCAGGTCACCAATAAGGATGCAAGGATGGAAAACTGGATACCTTACTAGGTATTTGGGAGGTTGTATTTGGGTTTTTGGAAACGTGTTGGAGTGGTACCGAGCCAACGGAGTCAATTTTGTGCCAAAATATATGAACCCACCAAATTCACCGGAACTTCGCCCAACTTCGCAAATTTCCCAAAACTTTTAAAACAGAGCTGGAGTTGAAGAAGATTTGGATAAAAACATCAAAAACATTGGGAAAATTTGTTGTACAAAATTTGATGGGTGGAATGAAAAGTAAGGTGCGGGCATTCGGAATGGGAGACGAAATTGATTAAAACAAATATTGTAAATCATAACTCATTAGTAGTTTTTTCATTCTTTGAAAATTTCAAGAAAATCCGATAATCGGTTTAATTATGGTGAGTAAATATGTGTGTGTGCCATTTCTATCGAACACACAATTTAGTCTTCAGTGCACATTTGAGACCTTTATCGATGTAAAAGTTGATTTTCTTCCGCAAGTCTTCCGGGAATCCTGTTACGAAGAACGGTAGAACTTTTTCCTTCTTTTCCACCTTCGGTTCATCGCCGTTTTTAAGGATGGTGTAACGATTGTTCGCCAATAGCTCCTTCGATGTCAATTGAGCAATGGCGGTGTCCGATCGGGATCGTTTCCCGGCTGGAATAGCAGTCGCGTCAACACGTGGTGGTTTCCCATGCTGAGGACTTGCGATGCTTCAGCAAACAACGCGAAAAGGAGCGCGAACACTATCGCAACAAACTAGCGAACAACTCGAGAGAGCGAGTAAAAACCGAACTGTACTGCTTGACGGTCAAGCAGAGAATGCCTGCAGTCAAATTTTCTATGTTTCCCTTACTTAAGCATTTAGATAAGCATTATCTATAACATTAATTATTGAGTGGTACCGGCTCCCCGAGCAAAGTTAGAGATCACATTGAAATCAGAATTTGCTGTTATGATGTAACTTATTTTGAATCCCTCCCCTTGGCTAGTTTTTGCACCTTGCTGTTGGTGGGCGGGCTTAATTTCAAGCTTTATAGTGGAGTGTAGGAGACGGTAGGTTTATGGCCGGCGTTGCTGGCTCATGCCGCGATAGAATGGCGCCATGGGCAGGCAATGGGGATTACTAAGCTTCCCCTCTCTGATAAAGCACTCCATGAGAGAACCAAAGATCTAGTCTAGCAGTGATAGTATCACACTTGTTACTCCTTTGATTGAGAGCCGCATCGTAGTACGCTTACGTATAGGCACTGACGTTGGGTGTGTCCCGGCGGGTTTTGCCGCAAATCACTCTTATTTTATTTATTTTTACGCAGATAGATTTATTTGGGTTTGCAAGGGAATTATACTATTGAAATATTTCAGAAAGTGCCCAACGGTGCTCCTTCTATTTGCGTGACAAGCTTTCATTGTTGTTTTCATTGAAGTATTACTCAGGAAACAATGTTAAACATCATTTTTGTACATGGTATTGTAACTAATCTTATATGTGCTTCATTTTGATTTGGGATAAGTGTTTGAACTATGGCTCGGGATTTCCACTGTGGCGTGCTTCTATTGTGATATATCCATACGTAATTTTGTAGGACGACATAGTGGAAACGTGTGAGCGTAGTTGGAGCATATACCCTATATAATTTAAAATCAGCTAGGAAACTAACTTCAAAATGAAGCATTTTAGTCACTTGAAGGTGTCACCTGGGTACAAAAGTACTTGAAACACGTTTAATTTTATATTCAAGCTCTAGTGCGGGTACTTAATAAAGCATGGGCTATGATTGATTAGGTGAATGAACTTAAATAAGAAACCACCCCTCACCATCCCTCTCCAAAGGGGGAGTTTGGTAAAGAGAGATGAAAAAACCGATTTGTACCTTCCTTAAAAGGTGTCCTAGCTCGCTATTCTAATATCTATATACAATCTTCACACTGTCGTACTCTAACGGAAATATCAACTCTATGCTTTCATCTACTCCATCTATCGTATAAAAATTACCACTACAGTCTGTTATTTGAAATTAGCATCTTCAACTATGTAAATCGTTGAGTAATGCTAAAAACATATAGTCAAAGAACTTAGAAAGTCTAATGACATTAAGTAGATTAACAAAAGAATTAGGATGCGGGGGGTCCGCTTAGGGAGGCAACTAACCTTTAAAGTTTGTAGAATAAATCTTCCTATTTAGTCTTGAACTTCAATAAGAAAACGCAAGCAGACCAATAGCATTAAGCAGATTAACAGGGAGAGGAATAGTTTAGGAAATAAGTAAAAGTAGGGGTATGTGACAATTAATAACTTTTAAACTTTTGGAGGTATTGTATTCCCCTGAGTTTGTTGTACTCGATTACTATATTATTCTCTCAATACGCGAAATCTCTGATATATGCGGTTAAAGCATTTGAGTTAACTTATTTCTTAGTGTTCAAGTACTTACATTTGTAAACAGCAGTCAATGTTAATCTATGAGCTTACGGAGAAGTAATTCGCAATTCGGTAGAGCTTACCAAAAGTTTTTTTGAGCTTATGTAGCTTAGAATTTGTTCGGTACGGTCGCGAAATTTTTAAATAATTGATACGTGCGGTAAAATATCTAAATTGAAACAAAGCTCAATAGTAAAATAATATCTAGGGAGGAAACCAAAATTAATCAACTTGCCAACATAGGTTATCACTTTTATTTTGGTGGCACTCTTTAAATGATAATAAGCATTTTTTTCTCGCTTCGGTTGTCTCGCACGGCTTTCGGAATTCACGCGGTTTCCGGAACATACATAATTTAAATATTTCGTTTGAAACGGATTTACTTCTGATTCAAAGAAGAGCAGAACTCTCAGTAATGAATTCTAAATAACTCATTCAAATTTCAAACTATTTCCAGCTTACACATTCCATATCATTTTTTTTTATCTCAATCTAATCATAATCCCTTCCCATGGCGATCATGTAGCCTGCATGTGGCGAGTCAGCCATTACCCCTCCTTTACTATCGGCCTTGGATTGACTTGCACTCTTACTGCCCCACCCTGCGCTGCAAAATGAAAATGATAAATGAAATGATGTAACTCATTTTGAATACTCCATTTAATCTCATTTTGGTTGACTTAACGGCTAACACAGCAAAAATGAGAGCAACATTTTACACTGTTGAATCAAACGGCAAACTAATCCTGCTTTCAATGAAAACAAGTTGTGTTAAACAAAACAAATAAACAATAATCGTTAGTTCAACGACAGATAAACTTAAATCAAATTTTAAACAAGAAATTAAATGCAGAACTTCAAGTTAAGTTGCTTTGATTTAGAATGTCTTGACTGCATAATGAAAGCACAATATGAAATCAGACTTCTGTCGCGACAATTGAAATCAAAATGAGTTTTCATTACGATAGGAACTGCAAACTTTAATATCGATTTGCTTTCATTTTGTTAACCGACTTTGCTCGGGTCGTCTCTGTTCTTTCGATAGTCATAGCGAGCGAGCATGTGCTTGGTTGCCCTAGCAACACACAAATTATGTAATTGTCTATATTATCTATGTATGACTGGTTTGGCTGTCTTGCAATGAGCACTCATATATCTAGTTTTCACTGGAAATCCTATGTATGAGTGCTCCTTGCAAGACAGTCTATATTACATGATATAAGCCATAGTCTGTACGGGGTATAAAGAAGTTTACTCAACATAATTATATGAATATGTGTTACTTGGGTGATTACGATTTCTACCGATTTTCAATAGTTAACCATTTATAGTTGATCTTTAAACCAAACAAAACTTACATTCAAATTAAATAAAATGGTGTCATTAAAATATTCATAAATGACCTTGTTCAAAACCTGACAATTTTTCGCCACAGAATTATTTTCATTTGCACCCCAGTATTGTCCACAAACACGTAGTCCCACGTCAAAAAGTCCATTATGTTTTCGTCAATCATAAACTGCCTAAACTGGAACATAAAAGCTACCATTGGGCAACATGTCATCATCAATATTTTATTCGAAGCGAGTTTCAGCTAAATTACAATTTTATTTAGTTTTTACCTATACTATTTGAATCGATTTTATTTATAATTATGACTTAAAATCAAATGATTTGGCTGATTGAATTTGTCTGGCTAGAAACATCAAATGATATGATACCTGTAGTTTTTTTCTTTTTTTAGGAGCGCCTGGCTAAATGTCAGCTCGGGTATGACATTATAAATCATATCGTGTCATGTCATGGCATCGACATTATAAATCATGTCGAATCAATTAGTTTGTATTTCGAGTCAAGGACATTCTACAACGATGTTTAATTTTTAAATTGTCCGTTTTTTATGTTTTTCCAATAGTATTGAATATGTAAAGAATACATCAATTGTTTTTTACATCAATACTCGATGAACAAAAAGGTCCTATCTGCTTTGATCGATTCTCTTCATCGACTTTCTCTTCTGATAACCACTGCCATGCAAACAGATTTCGCACATTTTTTACCACATAGTTTGATAAAGGAGGTTCTTATCTAACGTCCAAAACGTCAAATACAACAGGGAAAGGTTTTGCAACTGAGTTATTTGCGAAAAAGTCGATGAAGAAAATCGATCGACCTTTTGAAATGTTTATCTATTATATTAATTATTTTCAATTTTATTTTGATTTTTCAAAAAAAAAAAAAGATTCACTTGGATAAATAACGATTTTTCATCTTTACAGATTCCGTTAAAATTTATTTTGAAGTCATTTCAATTGATAAGTGGAAACGAGAACGATTGCTTGGGTATTTTGTGCATAAGTATATACTGACTACAAATAACATAACCGATATTCTCTTCCAGAAATGCTTATATAACATTGCCTCTCCGAGCTCACATTTTAGAAGCATCCCTGGTGTGTTTAAAAGTTGCAAACAACCAAAATTTTTACGATAAATTGGAAGCATTTTTGGTTGGCGGACGAAGGGCAATAAATTTGAAGGAATTCTTTGGAGAGGTATGTATCGTTCATTGGGTTTCAAATATTAAACAATTATTTGTACTGTACTCTCTACATACAGAACGATGTGATGCTACTCAATCGATACGGAAGTCGTGCGGAGTTGGCAGGAGAACTGGATATCAGGTGTCAAATAGTTGAACAGCAGAAACCACAAATAGTTCAACTCACTGGTCACAACACGAAGAAACATGGTAAATTCCGAGCAAATGTGGTTACCATTGAAGAATTGCTATCGTCTTATCAGAAAGCTCGAGAAAGATTAGAGGAAGTCGTAGATCTGAAATATTGATAGACGACATTTGAAAATGTTATTCATCTTGTAAATAAATCTGATTTTAACCATTTAATTATTTTACTCACTGTCCGAAACGTTCATTTGCAGAACCACCCCATAGTTTCACATGTACGTACATAATACACTGTTGCCATTTTTGAGCAGACTTGTATTATATACCTAAATCCAACCCAGCAGTGTTGAGTGCGATGGTGTGGTGCGGTGTGATGCTAATATGACGGTTGTTCACAAAAAAAAGCAAAAGAAGATGAGAAAGTACTTTGTATAGATTCATCAATTTTTTTTTCCTGTATGAATGATATTAACAGATCGGGGCACATGAATAATTTGATTGTATTTCTTTGTAGGAGCGACTCTTTTCACCTCTCGTCTTACCTTTAATTCCATTTCTGGTTTTGCTTGCTTTTATTTATTCCTCGGAACTTGTAGCGCTGGTGACCGTTTTGATAAATAAAATAAGAAAGTTGTCGCTATAATTGGCTGTCACAACACGCAGTTGATGTGTAATTAAGCATTCTGAAACATTTTCTTGGTGTTTTCGGCTTTAATTCAAGGTCAGTCTGTAACATTTTGGGAGCATCCATTAGGTACGCCATGCTTTTAGAAGAAGGAGGGGAGGTTTACAATTAGTGTGTGTCAATAATGCATTACTTATAGGAAAAACGTGACGATAGGGGAGAGAGAGGATTAATTTTCCTTAAATTTCGCGTGCTCCCTTAGAGAAGCTGAGTTGGAATAATTTGTTTAGCATATATTTTAATAACATTTTCCCTTAACTCTGTCGGTAAAGGCGCAGCAATAAAGCAAGATCATACTGGTGGCGGCTGGGTTTGATACCACGTCTGGTTTAGGATGTTTTTTGGTTTCGAAAATGTATCGACTTTCCTGGGTAGAGAGTATGATTGTACTTACCACACAATATATACTATTTATTACAAGTTGATAAATGAACAAAGTCGATCGGATTCATGTCGATGTTGTCTATTTGTCAACTTGTCGCTCCCAACATAGTTTACCCATTTTTGGGTAGGTTCAGTTTTGACCGATCTGGGTGGATTCTACCCAAGTTTGGGTAGTTTTGAAATAGCGTGCATATCAGTCACAAGTCAAGTTCCTCAAAAATGAGTAAGCAAAGTTGGGATTGACAGGTGACAAATGTACAACATCGATCGGACTCAGGCTCGAACTCAGGTCATCTTGACACTCCCAAACACTTAGTTTTTTCTACCTAGCTCGGCTGTGCAAATCTCGGCAAAAAAAAAGTTTCACTGAGATCTCAGCAAAAGTGGCATTTGATTGTTGACTCTCGGATAATGTTTAGCAGAATCTCAGCAAACAAATGAAATGTAAAACTTTTATTGCCGGGATTCGTCGCACCGCCGAGCTCGGTAGAAAAAAAAACTAAGTGTGCAACTTTGTTTACTCATTTTTGAGTAGCTTCACTTTTGAAAGATATGAGTGGATCCTACTTAATATTTTTGTTATTTTGAAATAGCGTGTAGTAAGCATCAGACTTGTAATAAGCTACGTCGAAGACAGATTACAGGAAATTTGATGATTATCAATTTTACACAACACTCGTGGTAATTACAGTTAATCGTAACGTTCCGTGCCACGTGTTCAATCTGGTTTCTTTCGGTTTTGGGAAAGGTATTTTTTACCGGTTTCTAAGAACAGTGAACAGACGGCAAAATATGTCTACGCATATTACCCCGTGTTGTCTCCACGATTGGATTTGCATGAACTCCGCAGCAGAGAATTTAAGAGTGCATTTCAACCAGACTACTATCATCATCTGCTGCGTGGTAGTAGCCAGTGGTTTGAAAATTTTCTCAATTAAATCCGCTATATAAGCCATTCGGCGCAGACATTAGCAAAAATTTGCATTTATTATTCACGCATATGCCCAACAATACACCCACGATGGTACCTATCGCCGTGTAAATTCCCACATGAATTGTTTTATTTTTCTTCGCTCTTTATTTGCTTAGCATTTAAATCACATGCCGTGGATGTTATAAAGCCTACGAAGAGAACTATAGGTATAGCTGAGGGCGCGCAGGGAAGAGAATTTGATGGAACGTGCACGTCGTAAGTATACCTAACCTACTGCAGTAAACAAAAAAAAAAACTTCGGCAATAATCTTCCTAAGGGACAGAAATGCTTTTCTGATGAAAATGGTAACGGTTTTAAATTTTGCAGCATTATATTTTACTAGCACTAAAATGTATTCAGTATTTTTTTTAATTGTTTTCCTTTGTTATGACATTTACTTTGGAAATTAGTTCATATTCTATTCATGGAAGTTATACTTTTCATTCGTATAAAAAGTAAAACAAACCTTTAGTGGCAAAGAAACAAAAGAAAAAGAAAATGTAAAACACCTCACCTTTTCAGCAACGTTGCCACGTTTCAACGTGCGGTGGCCTGTTCTTATGTATACACGTTTTTATGAGGTCTATGTATCTCTGTCTCTAACCACCCATGCCTGTCAGTTTATGTGTGTGCATCTCGCTACTCCGGTATTCTCGCACTGTGAGGCCCGGCTATTACTACGCTTACTTTTTCTTAAGCGAACAAGAATAACGTTACTGGCAGCGCAATAAAATCGACCGAAGACGAGGAAATAGTCACTTGCCGGCTTAGACCTGCTTTTTGAGCTATTTTTCTCTGTCATCCATGAAATATAGTACCTATATGGAACAATATAACAAACAAAAAGCAAAGAAAATTAAGATCAAATGTTTTTCGAAATGTTTATCCGGCAGTCCTGATTCATTATTGATGTTTTTATTATTGTTTTACCTGAATTAAACAACCTATAGTAAGATCTGGCTCTTACATAAATATTCAAATATGTAATACCATATCGACTAGATTACTCGATATTCTGTAACTCGATACTTTCCATAACTCGATGAAATTTAAATTCCCTACAATTTTGCAAGCAATTGAGCTTAATGTGATCCGCTTAACTAAAAATGTTAAAAATAATTTCCAATTTCATAACAATATCATAAATTAAGCTAAACCTCAATACGCAATTAAATTATTAGGTTATACCTGTGGTTTTCAAACTAAAGAATACCATAAGAACCACTTATGAATTTTAGCCACAAGAAATCGGTATGAATTTCATTGATTTGATTTTTTTTTTTCTTTTTTATTATAGTCACTTAAGGGGAGGTTTACTTGGATTTTTTCAAAAAAATTGATTTTTTTTGCATAAAATGAAAGCTACAAGTGTGTAGAATATGTGGCCAAAAGGATTTTACGATCCGAAACATATTTAGCGAGTTATGGCGCTTTGAGTGAACCTTTGTCATGCGCGCTGAGGGACGCTACAAAAACTTTAAACGCGTTTTTCTCGAAACCATATTTTTTATAACAACTTAGAGCATAGGGCTTGAACAAATAATCCGATTTACAATCGGAAAATTGCACTTTGAAGGATACTACTTTTTGTTTGGCTTATACCTAAAATGAAAAAAAAAATGTTAGTTACTATTTTTTAAGCAAGGTCAAAGTGAAAAAAAGGGGTAAAAAAAGCACTAAATTTTCAAATGTCCATAATTTGGTCAATTTTTGTCGGATTTCGTTCTAGTTAGGTATCAACTTTAACCACAATAAAAAAATTTCATTTCAGTTCACCACCAGAGGGTGTGCACTCGAAGTTCTGCAGCAAAACCTGACTGACACTCCTCCACGCGAGCCGCCATTTTGTTTTTTTACCTTCAAAAAATTTCCAAGTATTCAGGAATAGTGGACAAATATAATTATCGAAACCGGAAGTTCGTATGTCTTTTCATTCTCCTGAAAAAAAAAATCCAAAGTTCAACTGTTTTTCAGCCAAATCCAAGTAAACCTCCCCTTAACACTCTTGGGTCATTCGTGACTTGTCCGGGGGTGAGATTTGAACTCGTGCCTTTGGCGTGAGAGGTATGACTGTTAACCACTACGCCGGGGTCGACCCCATTGATTTGCCTTACTAAAAAAATGTTGACAAAAAAATAATAAAACGGAAGCACACTAGAACTCGGATACTCGGAAATGTTGATGTTGATATCATTACGGGGTCCATATGCTGACCACTCATCTTACAACGCTTGGTATGATGAAATGGTTAAAGTCGTATAAGAGCTACCTAATGTTAGACGAAAATCGTTCTTAAGTCACGCTTATGAAATTCATATGTATCGTTCATAAGTTGAGCCTTATGAAATTCTTATGTTAATTTGCCTCAGTGTATGTTAAGTAATTAAAAAAAATGTGAAATCCCTAATCGAATGTGCAGGAAGGCAGCTTCCACACCTGCGTAGGATATCGCACCCATTCAAACACACATTGGTTGGGACCAACGGCTTTACTTCCCTGCCGAAGAAAGACGTGACCAGAGATTTTTATGACTCAGAAAAATCCCACCGACCTCGGCTGGGATTGAACCCAGACCCATTGGGGTCCTTGTAAGGCCATTTTCTCGCGAACCGAAACCTTCATCTGAAAGCGTCTACGTAACTGTACAAGAAAATAAAAAGTAAAAATATTGTTTTTTTTTGGTATTTTGTAAATGCATTTTTTAAGAATACTTACTTTGCTAGTTCATCCTGAAGTTATGCGTTTTATTCCCCTTGATTTGTTTTTCGTCCTAAGTAACATTGATCGATTCTCTTCGTCGACTTTCTCTTTAGTTAATAACTGGAGTACAGGGGGCGATGGGACCAACAACAATACGAAACTAACGATTTTAAATTGGCTCACTACTTGACTAGCCTATTGGTCCCAAGCAAACGATTAACGTACCCCATCCTAGTCGAAATTCTACTACTATACAATGTTTGTTTTGATTCGCTATGAAAGTTTGACAGATAAAATGAGGGGTTATTGCTTTTTCCTATGTTTCGAGGGGTGAATCGATTAGCTTGGGACCGAAGACAGTACCAGAGCTGAGCCAAAAAGTTGAGCACGTTATTTCGGGACCTTCTAGTCTTAGAGT